GCAATAATTGTATTTGTGTATTGTAATATTCTAATAGGCTCTGACAGGGTTTTTGATAACCTAAGCTAGATTGTTTGAGTGTATAGTTATTGTTTAGTTCATGTTCGTCGAAAGAGCTGACAATGTTTATTTTACTTCAATATCGACGTCATAGGTACGAAAATTGAATGTATGTACATATGTATATTATATATGTATATATATATTATAATTTTTTTTTTGTTAAGTTTTGTATAATATACAATTTAAATAATTTATGTACAATTTATCTGACACGGACTGTACTATCTATGATTGTACAAATTTAATCCAATTATTCATTATCTATTTACTTAGTAGGTATTTTTTAATTATAACTTTTTGAAGTGAAATCTTTATATTTCGAAAAATGAAATTTAAGAGGATTGCCTTGGGCCCCGCAAAAATTAAAGGAGGTCCTGTTTCCACTGTTGTTTTGAAGTTTTGGAATAATAATACATTTGTATAGTGTTTTGAAAGAAAATCGTGTTAGTGGATAGTTATATTTTTAGAATGTAAGTTAGATAGCTTTTTAGTGATTATCACTTAAAACGCTTTTGGTATAATTGATAATTTAGAGATAGGTTTATAGTTTTTAATATTATGTTTATTACCGAATTTAAAGGTAGGTGTAATATACGATTTTTTCCAATACTTTGGGAATACTCCGATAAAGAGAGCGATAGATTGAATAAGTGAAGCAGAGGTTTGATAAGTATAGAGAGATAGGATTTTAAAAATATAAATTATAAACCGTCCAGTACAGTTCCTGTTACATCATTTAGAGAGTCAAATGTTTCCGGCATTTCTGTTTCAACAATAGTACATGAATTTAAGTTAAGATCAGGATAATATATTGTGTACGATGTTCCTTGTAGACCTGTAATAACCTTATTGTCAGAATACACCAAGGAAATATAATTTGCAAATAATTTGGAATTTTTCACAATATTATCAGCAAAAATACTATCCAGCATAATTGAAGACGGAATACTCGATTTATTTGGACGTTAGAGTTTTTATATACTTCAAAAAAGATTTATAATTAAGGTTAATATTATTTAAATTTTTGAAATATGATTTGCCTGTATACGTTAAAATAAATATTTACATTTTTTTTTTTGTCAAGTAATATAGCTACTATCCGGTACCCATCGTAATATTAAATTTTTACCCGGCTCATACTCGGTACCCGATGTAGTACCTACATTTTTACTCAACTCATACTTTTACAATGTTACAATTTATAAACTTGTAAATTACATGTGTACAGACGCAGTTTATAGGTTTATTTTTCTATAAGTATTACCGAATTATCTGTAGTAATAAATGGAATCGTATGTCGCATTATACTTTTAATGTTGCACTTATCTCTTTTCAATGGTTGTACCTACGTTTTATTTATGTCACACGCAAAACCTTAATTTAATATTTTTATTGAAACCTTAGCAATAAATTAATAATATTTAACTATATTGTGTATATTTAAATTATAGGGCGCAGGCCTAATAAAACACCATGGCAACCAAACTAGGATCGGACATCTCACTGATCCAACATGAAGATGTGTTACTGGAAATGGTACGACATCGTTAAATTTGTTTAAAAAAAACTAGTTCTTTTTTTTCTTTTTTTTTTAGTTGCGACAAACCGAGGACTTTGGTAAAAAGAAAGAAATTCGTATGAGGATTCATGAACTTCGAAAACAACGACTAAACGAATTTTACACAAGAGAAATGATTCAAATAAAAACTACATCGAAACGCTCATCGACGGAATCTATTACGGATCAAAAATGTATGACGATGAAAACGAAAGTAATTGGAGATTCTGAATCACCCACAGAAGTCTACCAGAAAAAACCAAATGCTAATACTAATTTTCCAGTTAAACTGCGAGAAAATTTTTCAGTTAAAGAAATAAAACCATCTTCCAAAGATGGCATTAAAAAAATAGACATTGAAGTTCACGATACGTCAACGAATGCAAACACACAGACCCCCACTTTAATATGGAAAATTTCAGAAGCGCCTGATTTTAAATCCAGAAAAGAATTTTTTGAAAACAGAAAACTAAATGATAACTCAGAAAAAGAAACTCTCAAAAAAATAATAAAATTGTCTTCAATAAAAAACCACCGTGCTTCATTTGAAGAAATTATTGATAAAAAAACACTATTACAAGACAAAACCAATGTTCCAAAACAAACAACACTAGATACAAAAATTAGATCACCTGACCGAATAACCGAAAGTCTGAAAAAAATAATGAACACAGAATTATTCGATGTCAAAGTTGAGAAAATTAATAAATCGAGAAAACTATTGGGATCAAAGACTGTGAAAGATAGAAAAGCAACTTTTGAAAATAACGATGTTGTTGAAAAATTAGCTAGGGCTACAGAAACTTTAGAAAGGAGTACGACCAAAAGTCCTGAAAGGAAACTACTAATAGATTTTAAAGTTGATACGAGTAGAAATTATCATGAACAATACACAGCCACCACGACCAAACAACGAACCACCACTACTGCTGAGACTGAATTTGGTGTGACAACAAAACCTGCATTAGTACCAAAAGATACACCAACTATAATTCAATCAACTAAAATTCATACTACTGACGATGAAATGCAGATTGAAAAAATATTTGATTTGCAAATTTTAGAAATTATGGTAAATATACAAATATAATAATAAGCAGGGCTCGGATTTTATAATACTAAAAATAACTGAAATATGCGTTATAATATAACCTAACAAGTCTTGGAAATTAGCGTTTAATATATCCTAAAATGTTTAAAATAAGCTATAGAATCTCACAAAAACATGAAAAATGGTTAAAAAGAAAATCTGATACTAGAGATAGGTGTGGCCACTACTGTAGGTGGTTAGTTGGGAAGGTGGGATTCATAAAGTTATTTAATTGATACTTGTTACCTACGATAAACAACGATTGCTGACGAAAAACAATTCGGAGCGAAGTTCAGTTTTACATTTTATGAAAGGCGGTAATATTTACGATTTTCATTAAAATTTGATTTTAAAACTTATAAAAGAAAAAATAATAAAAAATACTATATTATACTCCTTTTTTTTCAAGTAGAACTTATAAATCGTCTATCAAATTTTTAATCATTTCTGTTAAGTCTTAAACATTTTATACATGGAGTATCTACCGAATAAAAATAACGTAAAAACTATCAAAATTAAAATGTCTATAAATAGTTTAAAAAGGAATCAAATGACCTCTTGTCGTTTTTCTATTGAAGCAATATGTATGGTAGAAAATAACCGAACAATTTTAAATAATAGAATCATAGCTCCGTAATTTGAAAAAAAAATCGTATTTTTTGATTTTTCCAATTCTTTTGAAAACTATTTTGGATTTTAAAAAATTACTTTTTCTAACGGTGACTGTAA